CAAAAATTAAAAAAAAAAGTTTTGGAAAAAACTTCGTAATTTTATTTTTGAATTTCGAACAAAATTTAGTCGAGAAAATTTCGAACAAAAATTTCTCTAAAAAAATTTCAAAAAAAAAAATCAAACAAAAATTTTGAAAAGTAATTTTTCGAACAAAATTTTTTGAAAAAAAAATTAACTATTTTACTAAAATGTACTTTGTTGTAAGTAATTAAATTTTATGCAATTTATGATTACATAATGATCAGGTTACTCATCATCATATAATTTAAATTAACTCGCTCTCCAACTATTTGTTAAAATATTGATGCAATGGGCTGGATGCATCAATATTATTGACGACTCTAAAAGTTGTGTTTAAAGTAAAGATGAAACTACTATATACACATAAGTATAAGCAACCATGCATATGTTTCCAATTCGCAATATATAATAATATATAAAATTACAAAAATAAAAATAAAAAAATTAATAAAAAATATGAAAATCGCTGAAAAATACAAAAGTTATTTTTTTGTTTTTATTAAAACTATTAACATAATATACAAATATTTATGCAAGAGAGCTCCACAATACCGTTAATTGGTATAAAGAAAATTCTTGCCCAAATATTCTCATTATTTTAATACAGTTATGTAGTAAGTAACAATATTTAATTTCCAAAATTTCCTCCTCCTCTAAACAATTACGACTTAATCTTAGCCGGTATTTGGAAGCATACAGCATCACCCTGTTTATCACTCAAGCCCCAGTGTATAACCAAATTAACAGTCGGATAGATTGGTAGTATTTTGAAGCTATTCTTGTAGGTGTACGTCTCACCGGCTTTCAACGGGCAGCCCACCTTCTCTTTGCCCTCAGCATCGTAGATGTACGGGCAGGCGCTGGTGCCATAATAGCCGGGGAACGGCAGTGGTACGTCCAAAATAATACCCTGTATATCGGAATTGAGTTCGTCAAAATCACGTTCGGGTTTGATCTTCATYTCAATGCTGGCCTCGGTGTTGCGCTTAAGTGTACACTTATTTTTGGGACAATTGGAGATAGTTACCTCRTCCGCGGTTAAGGCGCGTGCAGCCGCTGCAATAAATATTTTTTTTTATAATTTTTGTTGTTGTTATTTTTTGTTTCTTGGCACTTACACTTGGGACATTTTCTCACTTCGGTGGCATTCGTCAGCACAAAGAGCGCGATGAATATGGTAGCAGTGCTGATGTAGGACTTCATTTTGATGGATTTCCTTTACTGATTTTCACTTAGGTTCTGAAAGTAAAAAAAAAGTAAATAAAAATTAAACATTTGTTTATTTTGATTTCAATAAATATTATGTACTTATAAGATCATGGAAAAACTATACTGTGAGAAATTAATTTTTTAGTATTTGGTATTATTTTTCTTTTTTATTGGCTTACGCGGTTATAGCCGAGTTTACAACAGCGCACCAGTCGTTCTTCGTTTTCGCTGTTTGGCGATACTTGGAGATTTCAAGTGTAGCCAGGTCTTTCTTCACCTGGTCTTTCCAACGGAGTGGAGGTCTTCCTTTTTTACACCGAGTATTGTAGTCGAATACCTTCAGAGCTGGAGTGTTTTCATTCATTCGGACGACATGAAATAGCCAGCGTAACCGCTGTCTCTTAATTCGCTGAACTATGTCAATGTCGTTGTATATATCGTACAGCTCATGGTTCCATCGACTGCAATATTCGCAGTTGCCATTCTGGAAAGGACCAAAAATTTTCCACAGAACCTTTCTCTCGAATACTCGTCTCCCCGACTCATCACATGTTGTCATTGTCCTCTGCATCATTTAGGAGGACGGAGATGATGAGTGACTTGTAGAGTTTGGTCTTCGTTCGTTGAGAGAGGACTTTACTTCTCAATTGTCTACTCAGTCCGAAGTAGCATCTGTAGACAAGAGTTATTCTACGTTGGATTTCGATGCTGATGCTGTTGTTAGTGTTAATAATATTCCAAGATAACTGAAATTATCTATGACTTCGAAGTTATGACATTAACAATGACGTGGGATCCAAGTCGCGAGTTCGGCGACTGTTTGCTTGATATTTCGTTTTGCCCTCGTTCAGCAGACCCATTTGCCACGATTCCTTGTCCAACTTGGAGAAATAAGAACTAATAGCATGGTTKTTATATCCAATGATATCTATGTCATCGGTGTACTCTTGATTGTACCTTTTCTGTTCAGATCTGCAGCTCGAAATTTTTCTGCAGCAGTAGATTGAAGAAGTCGTACGATAGGAAGTCKCCGTGTCTGAAACCTCGTTTGGTATCGAACGGYGAAGAAAAGTACTTCCCGATCTTAACGGAGCTTTTGGTATTGCTTAATATGACTTTTGGGACGATACCAAATTCMAACATAGCGSYATAAAGGCARCTCCTTTTCRTGCTGTCAAAGCAGTTTTGAAATCGACGAAGAGGTRRTGTGTGATTCGATTWTTCTTTCATGGGTATTTTCCATGATTTAGAGCATGGTGTATAGTTGTTTTTTTTTCATTTCTTATAAGGTCTTTCATCTTTTCCTGGAACAAGAACTGATTTCCAAAGTTCATGGAATGATCTACGACTCGATTGCATTCACCATACTATGGATAAACGCAGTGCCTTGATGGAAATTTGTCGTCAAAAAATTTTCCGATGCACTGTCGAAAATTTTAAAAAATAATCWCGCGAATATCTTTGGGATTTAGCCRTTTTTTTGGCCGAGAAAAATATTTTAAGTTACTGTAAGCAACACAACACGCTCATACGCATGAAAACGCTCTTAGTATGTATACCATCAACAATTTAAAACTTTACAATACAGTTTTTTAAAGTTTATATAAACATGTGAAAAAAGGGATGTCTCCTTACTCAATATTAATTATTCTCTAATATAATATGTGTATGTATTTTCTAACCTACTATTATTATCCATTTATTTTTTATTTTCTTACACTACTTGTAATTTGCATATATTCTCTACAAGTAATTATTGGTTTTGTGTTTTTTTCTTTGCAAAAGTGGTCATAAAACGAAGAGGTTTTCAATTATTTATAGAATTCTGAGAAGTTTACGCTTTTACACTCAATTGAACCMCAGCTTGTTTATTACTTTCGAGACCTTTTTATAACAGTTGTTTTGCTCAACCGCAATTACTCAKAGAAGTGGAAAATGTAATTATAGCGATCAAAATATATTAAATCAAGGGTCAGTACGTTGATATGAAACTATGAACTTCAAAACTCATTATAATTTATAAATTAAAAGTGATATTTAAATTAAAATTATATATATCTATATATTGCATATTATCTTAACCCACTATAGAACATTAATTTTTTTCATAATTCGATAAATTAGGTATTCAAAAAAATCTCTCTAAAGGATTTGAGATATCGACATTGGAACTAAACAAAAATCTATAGTATTTTTTATTTTAGTACAGGAACCGTAGTCGATAGATCTCACTTGCACATATATTCGTCCTTTGCCTTACCCATTAGGTTCGTCAAGCTTGTGTCTACGGAGCTATTTCAAGAAAATGTGGGTATGTCTCTGCTCGGGGTTCCTCAAATACTAAGCTTTCCTAAGTTTAATAACAGCTTTCGCCGTCAAGAACCTTCCAGTTATGTCTATAATCGCMTTGAGCACTATTGTTGGAGTTTTTCTTAGTGCACCACAGATGACGATGAAGGCAGTTCTTAGAAAACACTCTGGTTGCTTAGCTAGCATGGTTTTTCGAGACCCTCTACCAAACAATGACCCTATTAAGTATTTTAGGATTAAATACGGTTTCATAAAGYCAGTATATTCAGTTAGCCAGTTTCATCTTTTATCAATGGCTCCTCTATAATATTATAAAGAGATTGCTGCCTCCTTCACTTTCTTCTCCATGTTTGAGTTCAATGACAGCTTCCTCAGCTCAGTTTTATTTGGATACTGCATTGGTAACTGCATTTACTAACACTTCGGTGAGATCGTAAATGGTGTTCAGGAAKTGTACTTTTACCAAAAGAGCTACATCGTTCACATAGGCAACCACCTGGCAGCCTCTTTCCTCGAATTCCCACAAAATTTCACTGGGATCCAGAGCAAATTGAAAAACACCACTTTGTGAGGTACCTCTATTTACTTTTCGAAGTGTGCGTGCACTTTTCCACTCCGCCATATTCGATACTCAGACAGATACCCACAGTATTGTATTTGTGTAAAAAGATTTCCTTACAGCTATGACATTACCGAGTGTATGGTAGTGTCGCGACCACTTTCATCGATCGCGGTAGCATTGAGCTTTGACCTGTCGCAACCGGAAGAACTAATCGAAGGACGATTCTAACYACCTTTAATTACATTGGAACATGCTGTACTTATGTAACACTAAAGGTTTAATGAACTGTCTTATAAAAAACCGAAACCAAATGAAAGCTTCGCTCATAGAACATWTAAATTGTTGCTGTGCTATTGTTTTTGCCGCCGCTGTGCAAGTACTTTTAATTAGCAGCATATTTACAGCTTTCAATCACGACATGCTTTTACATACAATTAAATCTGATTAATACTGCTAATAAAGAATTGAATCTCTTTTTGATTTGCATACAGTAGAACAGACAACTTCCATTAGAGATACAAACAATTTATTTGTGCTTGCAAAGAGTTCATTTGTAATAAATTATACCAGCTTTCATAACGATTTATCTTCGAAAAATTACATGCATTTACAAGCCGACATTTTTAAGCACGAAGTTTTTTATTGCAAAAACACATTTTCACTGCCAACAGTTCTGCTGTTAATGAATTACAATATTTGCTTCTTAATGAGTTTTTAAAAATGTAGAAAATTATTATTTTACAGTTTAGATGTTTAGTTAGGTGGCTTTAGTTGTAAAATATGAGTTTAGCAGGAAGTGAATACAACTTTTTATTTGTTTAGGTGTGTACAGTGAGTCATCATAGTATGCATACAAAGTGAATAACATTTCATTTGTTTTTATATTGCCACTAAATTTTTTTGTTTTTGTTGTTTTGTGCATTTTTAGCAAAGAGCGTATTAGCTGGTCAATTTTCAAACGGACTAGTCCAATTGAACAGCGAGCGCARGCCGATGGACATTTTTTTCTTTGATTGGTACAATCTCATTTATATTTGTATAAGCTACATACAAATATCCATATGTCAATTGATGTACGRTTGTCAAATATAAGTTTACAATGCGAAGGGTTTGTCTGATGATTTTTACCATGCAAAAACAATGAGTTTGCTTGAAATTTTGCTTAATTTTTTTGCAGAAGTTAGAAGAAGAGRAATCTATTTTTTTATCAACACAAATGTGTGGGTGGAGTAAAGCATACAGCGCRGGTCGTGAAGTTATCGAAAACTTGTCACATGCGAGTTGTCCGTTGGCAACAGAAACCGAACCTTTYGGTTAATGTTTTGGGAAGGAAGCGYATCATTGCTAGACTTCTACCAAAATACCTGAATCATTCGATAACGATGTCGAATAGAAGTCACAAAAATTGAGTTAAAACCGACAAAACCAAAAATTTCTTAAGGGATTGATGACCATTCCAGCCGATGCTTATAACGAGGGGAAGGAAAAAGTTAACATTGGTGTACTTGTATTGGCTCAAAAATAGTTGTATTAAATAATTGTATTAAACAAATTGACATAGATTTTCAGTTCGTTGTCAGTCCGGGTGAAGTTTGATCAGACGGTGCTTTGGAAAAAATTAGTCAAATACGTCTGTTTTGGTTTGAATTCTGTTGGMTGAAGGCAAAAATAAGTTAAAAAAAATATATAAAAAATTTAAAAAATAACTATCGAAAAATCATTGTTTATGAAATATGTATGTAAATAATTAGAAAATTTATATTATCCAATATTTAATGTTTAATATATTATGAACAAATTTTTTTTGATAGTACATTTGTACAGTTTAGAAAATTTTAGAAAATAACCTTAAAAAATGCAAAAGCACAATTTCAAAAAAGAAAATCGATTTATAATGTATAAAATGCTCTTATTTTTCTCGTTTTTTATAACAAATATACTATTCATCGAAAAATAAAAATTTGAGATATTTTCAATCCCAAATTCTCAAAAAAATTTATATAAAACCATCAGTTAAATAATATTCTATAAGTTA